TAAGTCAGGGCATGGCTAACTCACAGATCAAACCCTGAAACAACCTCTGGGCTGATCTAAGTCAGGGCATGGCTAACTCACAGATAGAACCCTGAAACTACCTCTGTGCTGATCTAAGTCAGGACACGGCTAACTCACACATAGTATTAGGATTTAGCGTGTTAGGTTTTGCGGAAGGAAGAAAACCGGAGAACCAGGAGAAAAACCCTCGAATCAAGGAAGACACATAACAAACTCTACTTACACGTGATGCCGAGTCTGAAAATCAAATCCGACGTCCATGGTCTTGATTCCCGAACTATCGTGAAAATGTATTATGTAATTCTAAGTTAGTCTTTCTTCTTATTTCATCCAATCAAAGGCGAATGTTCCCAGCCCTTCGAATCAAACTCTCAGGCCTCGATCCACGCGCGCACTACATCCTCGTGATGGATGTAGTTCCTGTGGATGGTAAGCGGTATCGCTATGCATATCACAGTTCTAAGTGGGTAGTGGCGGGAAACGCCGATGCACCGATGCCGGGACGCGTCTACATTCATCCCGATTCTCCCGCCCTTGGCGAGGAATGGATGAGACAAGTGGTATCTTTCGATAAAGTGAAACTAACAAACAACGAAATGGACCAACAAGGACACGTGAGTATCCGTCAACTATTCYTTGATCAACTTGACGTCATTTCCTGTCTCGTGTGAATGTTCATCAGCTAAATCAAAGTTTTCTCAATATATTTTTTTCTATCTGACAGCACATGGTGGTCAGAGTTTGGCCACCATTTGGAGCAGATAATGGTATTCAAAGACTTTTATCAGCTGATTGAAATACGATTGAGCTATATGCTTCTTATGACGTCATATTTAGTAACTGATTTACATATTTGTGCAGACCGCTGACTTCAATGACTGCAGACATATCTCTAAGTCTTAAAACAAAACATTCCAACAGTCTTTAAAAAACGTCTGATCAACTTTAAAAGTAACGATTGCATTTTTTCACGATTTTCTGCAGATAATACTTCACTCAATGCATAAATATCAGCCCAGAATCCACGTGATCAAGAAAAAAGACACAATCGATGCCTGTGTTGATGTAGAAAGACCATGTTCTGAACGAACTACCTTTTCGTTCCCAGAAACCGTGTTCACTACAGTAACAGCCTATCAGAATCAACAGGTAAAGAAACGCCTAAGGAATAATACGCGAGGGGGAGGGGGTGCGGAGCTTATTGAGACTTCGCTAGAATGATAAATTCGTCGGGAGACAAAAGAGGACGAATTGGGGCAAAGTTTGGGCTAACCCTGAAAAGCAGAGAATTCGAAACTGGAGCTTTTCCTATTTTATATTATCGTCCTGAAATCCTCCATTCGCCGTAAAAGTCACAGCGCGCACTGCAGAGTATATTCTCCACTATTAGTGTCGTCACGCCAGGCTCACTCCCCTACTTAGGAGAGTGAGCGTGACGTGACGACACTAATAGCTACTTAGGAGAGTGATTGTTGCGTGACGACACTAATAGCGGCTGCGTAGGCCACAGAGTATATCCCGTCGGTATTTCAAATCAAATTCTATTTTTCAACCGAGTTCAACAACAAGTGTTTTTCTCATTTTCGAGACGTGTGTGGGCGATTAGTAATGTTCATTCATCATAATGGCTTATCAGCTAAGTACCTATGTTTTCTTAAGCCGGCCGGCCGCCTTGGAAAGTTCAATGGCTATGCTCCATTGATTTGTACCTGATACAATTTCTCAACTTCTAATGACTTTTACAAGCAGTAGATGTTTAACCGCAATTTCTAACATTGTGCGACATTCTACTATGGCCACGTCCTTACGTAACCAGATATTTTTGAAAATTCTCGTCTACAAGTAGCGTTTTCGAACCCGTCCACACGTATTTGTTTTCGAAAAGTTGCGTTTTCAAGTGACGTAATCACCGGATTTGTGTGGCTTCCCAGCATAAGATTGGTTATCGTATGAATGTGAAAAGTATGGCACTGGCTTTACAGCACGTACACGGTACGACATGCCTTAACATTGAAATAGCTTGCCATATAAGAATGGTTATCATATGAGTGGAAAACTATAAGGTAGGACATGCCATAACATTTAAATGGCCTCATCTTCTATGAAAAAAAACAATCGCAAGAAATAGAGGATATGGTACTGCTACAATGCGACTATGGAAGCCTTAGCTATTGATACGAAATTTTTTGGCCAATCCTCGATATGCGACACAAAAATCCTTCAATGGATTTGATTTTGTTATATGTTTGAGCGAGTTAATGGAACGGTTCCTGTGATCTCGCGCGATGATGAATCGGCAACTTAGTATAATTAATCTTAATCTTTGGTAATTGACGTGACAACGAGGTGTTTACGGACCTTTAACGAGGTGCTGGTGATGATAATTGTTATCAGATAACAAGGAATGCCAGCCGATGAAGATACTCTTGTTTGTTCATGTTCTTAAGTTTGTAACAGGTTTTGATCATGATAAACAAGCGAACCTTGTCCCAAATCGCCACCTTTCTTGATTTGTTGCATTTTGCATGCCAAGCTCGAAATGTATAGTGGATCTCATGTAAATAGTCAGTACAGAAGAAATTATGCAAGAAAAACGTGCAGACAAAGTTTGGGGTGATTCCATATCGTCGCGACCTTCCGCTGACTGTATTTACATCACCCATGATTCACTTTATGCTTGGTATTCAACATACAATAAAACCGTCACTATTTTTTCAAAATAGATGCCTCTATAATTTAGGCATGAAATGAGGCGAACCCTCTTATATTTCCTATTCACGAATCATCCAAATTAGGTGGCTAAAAAATCTTTATCTTTCAGATTACTCGCCTAAAGATCGATAGTAATCCGTTTGCTAAAGGATTTCGTGATTCTGGACGTATCAGGTATGGAACGAGTATCAAATACCAGTAGAAAAAAAAAAACAACAAACAAAAAAAAAAAAACAAAACAAAACAGGATGACGTGATTCATTACGCGATTCAAAAGACACCCCCCTTTATTCTTATTCTTATTCTTATTCTTATTCTTATTCTTATTCTTATTCTTATTCTTA